TGGCTACTGATGCCAAGAGTGTTGACTGTGGAGCCAAGCAGACTGAAGTTGTTAACAATCTCAATCTCTTCACCATCCATCCTGATGCTGCCATTTTGTCCAGTGGTGAGAATCTTTGTCTTCTTGACATTGAGCCTCAATCCATAATGAAGACTGTAGTCCTTGACCCTCTGTAGCAAGTGCTTCAGATCATCCTCAGTTTCAGCAACCAGGGTTGTGTCATCTGCATAATGCAGATTGTTACTAGATCTTCCACCAATCCTGACCCCACATTTTTCCTCATAGACCCCAGCCTCCTGGATGATCTGTTCTGAATACAGGTTGAAAAGGAAACAGGACACATCTCTGGCGTACACCCTTCCCAATTTTAAACCATGCAGTGTTTCCTTGCTCTGTTCTGATGACTGCCTCTTGATCCAAGTATAGTTTCGCATGAGCATGATCAAGTGTTCTGGGATTCCCATTCTTCTCAGAGTTAGCCACAGTTTGTTATGATCCACACGGTCAAATGCCTTTGCATAGTCAATGAAACACAGAAATACATTCCTCTGGCTTATTGTTTATTGAATGTGTATGCGTTAAGTGAAAACTCTTTACATGTTACCATTTTTACTATTCTTTACAGACAAGAGTTTAAAATAATTAATTTCAATTTGCAAATATAAAGATCAGAAATGAATTTTAGAAAATTATCTTTTTTTATTAAATTTAATGAAAGTTTACAGACACACTGGATTTCCGTTCATTCGTTGTTGCACACTTTCCTTCCTGCCACCCCTCCTCCTCAGTTTGTTTTTCCATTTTAAAAGTAAGAAAGAATTCTTTCATTGTTATACAATTCTCGTCCCACCCCCACCCCCCCCAACTCAGTCCACGCCAGTATTCAGCTTTCATTCTGGCTTCTTGTCATGACAATAAAACCTAGTCACAGTCACGTATTCCTCTTAAACAGTTCTCTCCCTTATCTGTTTCAATGAAGCATACATTATCTATGCACTCTTAGTTAACCCCTAACCCTGATTTCAGGCCCACTTTACAACAGTGGCACTATGCAGTATTTGTCCCTTTGTGAGTAAGATATTTCACTCAGCATAATTTCTTCCAGAGTCACCCATTCTGTATAATATTTCATTATTTCCTTGTTTTTTAATGCAGCATAGTATTCCATAGTGTGACTATACCTGAGCCTCTCTATTCATTTGTTTTTTGATGGGAAGTTGGATTGTTTTCAACTCTATGTTATTGTGAGAAAAGCCTCAATAAACATGGGTGTGCATATATCTGCTTGAGTGCCAGTTATATTTTCTTTAGGGTATATTCCCAGCAGTGGAATTGCTGGGTCAAATGGTATTTCTAGTTGCAACTTTTTGAGAAAGCACCAAACAGCCTTCCATATTGGTAGCACCATTTTTCACTCCCACCAACAGTGAATAAGGGTTCCAGTTTCTCTGCAACCTTGCCGGCATTTGTTGTTTGCTGTTCTTTTAAACTCTGTTATTCTTATGGAAATGATATCTCATAGTAGTTTTGATTTGCATCTCTCGTAGAACTAGGGATTTTCAACATTTATTCATGTGTTTGTTTACCATGTGAATGTCTTCTTTGGTAAAGTGTCTGTTCATATCTTCTTCCCATTTTGAAATTAGGTTGTTTACATTTATCTTTTGTATCTTGTAAATTCTAGATATAAGTCACTTATCTGACATGTCTTTACCAAATATTTTTTCCTAGTATGTGGCTTCCCTTTTACCCTGTTGGAGAAGGTCCCATTCATCCTCTCCTGATCGTAAGTTTTTCAGTATCCTTGGAAGACTGTTTATGTTGTGAATTAGGGCGTACAGAGTTCTCCCACGTTTTTCTCTAATTAAGTTTATAGTCCTTGGTTTTAGTCCTATGTCCTTGATGTACTTTTAGTTGGTTTCTGTATACAGAGTGAGGTGTGGATTTTTCTTGAGTTTTCTACAACTAGTTTTCTAATTTTGCCAACACCATTTGTTAAAAAGGCTGTTCATTTCCCACTTAACTGATTTCATCTCCTCATCAAAAATCAGTTGACCAAAAATCAGATAGATGGGCTGATTTCTGGGTTGTCAGTTCTATTCTATTGATATATGTGTCTGTCATTGTACCAGTACCATGCTGTCTTGACCACCATAGCAGTGTAGTAGGATTTTAGATCAGGGAGTGAGATGCCCCCTACCTTGTTTCTCTTTTTAAGGAGTACTTTGTTTATTCAGGCCCTCTTTCCATTTCAAATGAATTATATTTAAATGTTGCCAGTGGGACCCACAATAAAAGTTTTATCTAAAATGCCACTATCATTTCCAGGAATCCTACCTTCTATTTTAGGAAAAGAATATTCCTTCTAGTTCCAGCTGCTAAATTGTAAATGTTTCCTGATGGGTTAGTCAGTGATGATATAATTGGTTTATGTGAGCAAATTTTCCTGCCATAGTGACTAAACTATCATTTCAGCGAGCTAGATGGTTGTAAATTTTTTCCTCAAGAATATGGATAATTTTCTGTTGCTCCAGTGATCCAAGAAATGCCAGATATTATCAGGCAGTTCATGTACTTCTGTTTTATGCTGACTAGAAAGATTACACGTTTTCATCTTTCTTTTTCCAGGGACAGAAGCAGCTGTAAGTCCAACAACTGGAATTCACCTTCAGATGCAAAACCCTGAACTGTACACTCTTCCATGTTTTGGCACTTTCGACCCTCCACCTCCATATGAAGAAAATTTAAAAACAAGCTGACTCTAGCTATATCACTAGGTGACAGTATTAGAAATATTTTAAATTCTAAAATATCAGGTTTAAGAAAAGACTCACTTAGTGTAGAATTTTAAGACAGAAATTGATAACATCTGTAAAAATGTACAATTATACAATTAAACAGGCGAAAATTAGTAAAGAAGAGGTTTCACTGCGGAATTAATGGAATCTATATATGACCACTCTCATAACTTTTAGGGAGGAAAAGACTCTCCTTTAGTGTAGAATTTTCAGAGATCAATTGCTATCACTTGGAAAAACTTGTAATTATGCAATCAAACAAGCAAATAAAAATATCATGTGGGTGAATGAAGATATTTTCCTTGTGAATTAATGGACTCTTTGTATTTTACTAGTGTCTCATAATTTTTTTAAAAATTTTATTTTTTCTGTGTGTGTGTACTGTCAAATCAGATCTGACTACAGGAAGAGATTGCCTCTCCTTCTCCAGCGGAGCATCTGGTGGATTTGAACCATGCGCCTCTGGAATTGCAGTGCAGCTTCTTACCACAAGGCCAACAGAGCTCCCTTGTCTTTTAACTTTTATGTTACACAATCACTTTAGTTTTTCTCTGCTGGTATTCAAACAGAGAGTAATTGGGCATACAAAAGTGTCTCAGTTGTTAAATTTAGAACTCCATTGATACACAAAACAAAGTTTTCTCTGCCTCAATATATTAATTTTAATAATATCTTCTTTCTAGTATATGAGTAAAATTTAGCAATGATTTAGCAATGTCTTTCTCAAAAGATTCACATGTCTCTGGACTCAGAAACAGAAAGAGTGTGTTTGAGTAAAGGTAATGGGATAATATATAATATAAAAAGAAATGTTTGGAATAGAATCATGAAGGATGAATAGAGAAGATTACCAGTTCCATGATAACGGGTTGTAGGTCTCTACCTGAGGAGGAAAGAAGTTTTGCATGAAGCTGAAGAAGATTAGCCCCGTGAAAAGAAGCTGTGCTGCTATTTCAAAGGCGTATAGTTCGAAACCACCAGATGTTCTGCTGAAGAAGCATGGACAATCTCCTCCTGTGTTAGTTGAATCTGATTTGACAGTACACAACAAGGAAAAAAAAAAGAAAAAGAAAAAAAAAGCTGAAGATTATGTAAGATATAGGAGACCATGAAATGCCAATATGTAGAGAGGAGGAGACATCTGTATTTTACATGAGTGGATTTTATAGGATCCCACGATGTATCTTGCCTTAGAGCCTCAGCCTTTATCAAAGTCATTTAGCAGAAATATCTGTGATCTTAATGAGAACTCTGATTGAAGAAGCAGCTGTGAGATATCTTCAAGAATCTTTTAGACAGTGACCATCAGCCAGAAGGATAGGAAAAGTAATCCATCCCAGAATCCACAGTCTTTAATTAACAAATGTGTCAAACAAAGCAATCAAAATCTCCACTTGATTGTCTCAAAGATATTTCTAATTTAGCTTAACCAAACTTTCCCCCCAATCTCTTTTCTCCGAATCTGCTTTATTCAAAGTCTTCCCTGTTTCACTGACAGTAACTACAACCTTTTCCAACTGCTCACTAAGAAGAATCTCATCATTGATTCCTCTCTGTGATCTATCCAGCACCGAGGTTAGCAGGAAATCTTGGAGTCTTAAGTGATACAAAAGGGTGAACACTTGAATATTGGGCAAATAGGGACTCAGGTATCCCTACTAACCCAAAGCTCTATGTTTCCAATGATCTAGAGCGTCTAGGCGAGAAAGATGGACATTCTCTTCTCATTACAATTAAGTGTCAGAAACCCAGTGGAAGGTTGGTATGAATTGGAACTTACCAGACAGTTATGAGCTTGTGTTTAATTAGGCAAAAGTTGACAGTTCAAAACCACCCAGAGTCCTCAGAAGATAGGCCTGGCAATTTGTTTCCAACAGATTGTGGTCTGTCTTTTTTTTTTAAGAACTTAATTCACTTTATTTGTTACAGAAAATTCACTATGTGGTGGCCACAGCTGGAGCCTGAGTCCTCTGCACGGAGACTCTGGTGTGAGTTTACAAGATGATCTGTGAATTCCTGGTAGGGAGACTTAGTGAACACCGTCTCTTTCCAGAGGTCTGGGAAATAGCTGTAGGTCTTTGAGATGGCATCAAAGGTGGCCTTAGTGAAGTTGCCCAGGGTAGCTGTGCAGCCCCTGGCTGAGGTGTAACAGTCATCAATTCCAGCCACCATCAAGAGCTTCTTGGCCACAGGGGCCGAGATGATTCCAGTGCCTCGGGGTGCAGGGATCAGACGCACCAACACAGAGCTCCAGCGCCCAGTCACCTTGCAGGGAACAGTGTGAGGCTTGCCAATCTTGTTCCCCCAGTAGCCACGCCGCACAGGGACAATTGGAGAGCTTGGCTAGGATGATGGCCCCACGGATGGCAGTAGCCACCTCCTTGGAGCACTTGACACCCAAGCCAACATGGCCATTATAGTCTCCGATGGCGACAAAGGCCTTGAACCTGGTCCGCTGGCCAGCACGTGTCTGCTTCTGCACTGGCATGATTTTCAATACTTCATCCTTGAGGGACATGCCCAGGAAGAAGTCGATGACCTCAGACTCCTTGATGGGCAGAGAGAAGAGATAAATCTCCTCCAATCATTTTATCTTCATATCTTTCACCAGGCGGCCCAGTTTGGTGACGGGGAGCCAATCCTTGTCCTCGGCTTTGCTTCCTCGAGCTCCGCGGCCCCTCCCACGGCCCCCCGTCCAAGGCCATGCCCCCCACCCCACTGCCCCAGCCCCGCAGACCACTACCAAAACCTCCGCGGAAACGGCCGTGAGCTACCATCCCAGGGCCCCCAGGGCCCCGAGGGCTTCAGGCCTTAAAAATTCTTAAAAATTCTATAAAGCTGTTTGTCTTTGTTCTGTTAGGATCACCATGAGTTCACATCAACTCAACAACAGCTAACAGTAACCTTCAATCAATCTCTAGACATCTCTGTTTTGTGTCATTCATTCTCAGTTCTTGCCTTGGTTACTGTAATAGCTTAGAGGCTGACCGATATTTCCCCCTTAATTTTGTTAATTTATAGTGTATAATGGTGTAGTGCATAATGTGTAGGGCTGATAAAAGAAAAGTTGGCTGTTTGAATCTACCAGGTATTCCATGGGAGAAAGATGGGTAGTCTTCTCTAGACATGATTTTGTTGTTGTGTACCATTGAATATTAAGGAATGGTCTGTTAGTGTTGTCTACACTGAATCAGAACTGACCAAGAGCTGACTCCAGCAGGTAGTGAATGAGGTAGTGAATGACACAAAAGGAGGTGGCCCATCTTTGTTTTGTGGAACAGCTGGTGGATTTGAACTCCTTGCCTTTGGGATATCCTTGAGTCAAACTGATCCAGAGCTGAACCTCTAGTGTGCTTTCAAAGGAAGTAAATTACATGAGAGAAGACTGGCCATCTTTCTCACATAGAAAAGCTGGTGGATTTGAACCATGCACCTTTAAGATTGCAGCGTCATGTTTTTTACCAGTAGGCCACTATTAAAAGGCTACCAGAAAAGGTGGGAAAAAAATTTACAGCCCTTAATATCAAATAAAAGGTCCCTATGAAAGCCTCAAGACACACAATAGCAGCAATAAGAAGTATTTTGTACTATGTTTACCATTTTATTCAAGTACACACCCTGGTCCTTCAGTAAAAGCCCATGCCTCTGAATTTTTACCAAGTTTTGCTGCATGTGGTGTGCAACTTAGAGCATACAAGCAGTAGTAAAAGGAGAAAGCATTTTACACTTTAAGTCGGCTTCAGCCTGAAAGCCTGTGGGCCTCAGGCTAAGCTTGATGCTCCAGCATACAGGATCCTACCAAGACCTCACTCTCACCTGGGACAGTATCCTGATGTCCCAGGCTTGAGCCTCAGCTGGAAGGCTCCAGTACCTGGCAGCCACAGAAATACAGCCCTACAGCAGAAGTAGGAGATAAGGACCTTCGTCAGAGAGAAAAAGCCTTTCTTTAGATCTGGTATCTGGTACTTAGACATGGAACCTCATGACCTGTGAGACTAATTTGCCTGTTATATTGGAAAATTGATCTACATATTGCTAATTACTTTGTAGCTTGGATATCTGTATTCTTGCTTGTTTATTGATGTTCTAATTAGGGCAGCCCTTGTCTGTCAACTTGCTGTACTTGGGGGTTGCCGTGATGCTAAAAACTGTGCCACGGGTATTTCAAGTGCCAGAGAGGTCACTCATAGTGGACAGGTTTTAGTGAAGCTCTAAGATTAAGACAGGCTAAGAATCAAGACTGACCATCTACTTCTGAAATAAGAAACTTCTGAAAACCTTATGAACAATGTTGTTATTGTTGTTGATTGCCTTTGAGTCGAGCACAACTCATAGCGACATTATGAACAAAAGGCCTGAAGCCCCACTGCAACTATCAACATTTATTAAAGTTCAGAGAGTTTCCAGAGGCATGTTGTTTAGGAAGTAGATGCCACTTACGCTTCCAAACCTGCCATAGAATGTTACAGGTTGTGTCACCTTGTGATGCATAGCGAACCCATGTACAGCAGCTCTGAACTCTTCCCTCTCTTGAGCCAATCTCACTAATTCTGACACACTAACTCCCATTGCCTCAGTTACTGTATCAATCCATCTCATTTGGGGTCTTCCTCTCCTGCACTGTCCCTCCACTCTTCTGAGCATGATGTCTTTCTCCAAGAACTGGTCTTTTTTGGCCATGTGCCCAAAGCAAGTGACACAGAGCTTCAAAATCCAGCCGCCATGCAAAGACTTGGTTTCACCTTCTCCAAGACAGACCTATTTGTTTTCTTGGCAGTCCATGGTGTGTTCAAGACTTCTCCAACACCACAATTCAAGGGCATTGATTTTTCTTCTGTCATCTTTAGTCATTGTCCAAATCTCTAAAACATAATGAGAAGACCATGGCCTGGATTAGGTGCATCTTTGTATCTAGATTTACATCGTTGCTCTTTAGCACTCTGGAGAGGTCCATGACAGCA